CCTTTTGAAGACCCCCAAGGATGGGTCGAGCACTACCTCCCATGGAAGCCCATTCCAGATCCTGGAAAACCTGATCATGAAGAACTTTTTTCTAATGTCCAGTCTAAACCTACTCTCTAATAGCTTATGGCCATTGTTCCTTGTCTTTCCAGGGGGTGCCCTGGTAAACAGATCATCGCCCACTTTGTGTTGCTCTCTTATGAATTTGTATGCCACCACAAGGTCCCCTCTCAACCTTCTTTTGGAGAGGCTGAAAAGGTTAAGGTCCCTTAGCCTTTCCTCATAGGGCCTTCCCTGCAGGCCTCCAATCAGACGAGTGGCAATTTTTTAGACCCTCTCCAGGTTGTCCGCATCCTGCTTGAACTGCAGTGTCCAGAACTGGACCCAGTACTCCAGCTGCAGCCTGACCAGTGCCTCATAGAGAGGGAGAATCACCTCCCTGGACCTGTTTGTGAAGCACCTACGGATGCACAACAAGGTGCAATTGGCTCTGCTGACTACTTCATCAAATTGATGACTCACGTTCATCCTCAAGTCAGCAGTGACTCCAAGATCTCTTTCTGCCTTGGTGGTGTTGAGAAGGTCGCCCCCCAGCCTATAGGTATGATGGCAGTTTTTTTTCCCTAGATGCAGCATCGTGCACATGTCTTATTGAATTGCATCCTGTTGCTCTCTGCCCACTTCCCCAGCCTGTTGAGGTCAGCCTGGATCTGGTTCCTCCTCTCCAGGGTGTTAGCTTCACCCCATACTTTTGGGTCATCCGTGAATTTGGACAGGGTGCTTCCTACCCCCTCGTCCAGGTCACTGAAGAAGATGTTGAACAGCACCAGCCCCAGAACTGAGCCCTGAGGGACTCCACTACACACATCTTTCCAGGATGACAATGACCCACCCACCACCACCCTCTGAGTGCAACCCCTGAGACAGTTTGCTACCCATTCTATGGTATAATCATCCAAGGCAAATCTCCTCACTTTATCAATAAGGATGGTATGGGATACCATGTCAAAGGCTTTCTTGAAGTCCAGATAGATAATGTCCACCTCAACTCCTACATCTAAACATTTGGTGGCCTTGTTGTAAAAATAAACTTGGTTAGTCAGGCAGGACCTGCCTGCTATAAACCCACGTTAGTTACCTCTCTGTATCACATTAGCCAGTGGGTTCCCACAGACATATCATCCTTGATGACTTTTTCTAGGATTTTCCCTGGGATAGAGGTAAGGCTGACAGGTCTATAGTTCCCCACAACCTCCTTCCTTCTCTTCTTAAAGATTGGGATGACATTGGCCCTCTTCCAATCCTCCAGGACCTGACCCGGGCACCATGAGTGCTCATATATATTTGCTAGTGGTTCAGCTATGACACTCATTAATTCCTTCATTACCCATGTGTGGAGTCCCTCTGGTCCCAGTGATTTGAACACGTCCAGTTCCTCCAAGTGTCCTTTTACTGCATTGACATTGACTGTTGGTCAGCTGATGTTCCCCTTGTTGGTGTCCGTGATGCATATTGAAATTCCTATTTAAGAAGACAGAGGCAAAAAACTCATTGAAGAGCTCTGCCTTGTCCCTGCTATCCATCACTAAGCCCCCCTGCCTGTTCTGTAGGGGTTCTATGCTACCCTGCACCCTCTTTTTGCTCCCAGTGTACCTAAAGAAGGGCTTTTTATTGTCTTTAATCCCTGCCGCTAGCCTGAGTTCCAGAGTTGCCTTGGCCTTCCTGACTGACTCCCTGCAGGTGCAAGCCGAGGCAGTGTACTCCTCTTTGCTAACTACCCCCTGATTCCACTTCCTGTGTGCTTCTTTTTTTGCCCTTCATCATCCTGGATGACCCTGGTTAGCGAAAGGGGCCTCCTGGCCCCTTTGTCCCCTTTCCTTTGCCATGGGATTGTCTCACTCTGAGTTCAAAGAATGGTATCCTTAAGAAATGACCACCCCTCCTGGACCCCCAAAGCATCTAGGCTCTTGGTTCCTAGTACCCTGCCAACCAAACCCCTGAGACTATTAAAGTCAGCCTTTTTAAAGTTTAGCACCTGTCCCCTGCTAGGTATAGTGGCCTGCCTTCTCTGCATAGTGAATGTTATCATTTGGTTATCACTGTCCTCTAAGTTGCCTTGAATCTGCAGGTCCCCCACCAGGTCATCCCCTGTGGCCAACACCAAGTCGAGCAAGGCGTTACCCCTGGTAGGACTCCTTACCTCCTGTGTTAGGTGGAGGTCCTGAATGCAGGTTAAGAACCTGCGTAGGTGGTTAGATCTAGCTGACTATTCCTACTAGCATAGGTCTGGGTAGTTAAGGTCCCCCATGACTACCATGTCTTTAGACCGCACAGCCTCTGAGAGCTGCCTGGAAAATTCCCTGTCTAGCTCATCCTCCTGGTGTGGAGGCCTGTAGTAGACCCCACCACCAGGTCCCTTTCCCCTTGATCCCCTTGGATCCTAACCCACAGAGTCTCTGCTTGTCTATCCTCTGATTCCAGTTTGATTAGGGAAGATGTGTACTGTTCTTTGACATAGAAAGCAATACCCCCTCCTTTTTTCCCTTCTCTATCTCTCCTGTACAACCTAGAGCCCTCTATTCCTACCACCCAGTCATGAGTAGAGTCCCACCAGGTTTCTGTTAGACCCACTAGGTCAAAGTTATTGCTTGCAAGCAAGAGTTCTAGATCCTCTTGTTTGTTTCCCATGCTCCTGGCATTTGTATATATACATTTAATTCCCCTGGTGACTGCCCTGGAATGACCCTATAATCCTGTCTAATAGGTTCTTTGATACTTACCTGGGCTGTTCCTGTCGGTATCTCATGGTTTGGTGTTCCATGGATCCCTCTGTCCTTGTCCTCCCCTTCCCCTAACGAACCTAGTTTAAAGCCTGCTGGAGGAGATCAGCCAACCTGAAAGAGAACACATGCTTACCTTTGGGGGAGAGATGAAACCCATCCCACCCGACTATGTCTCTTGTTCAGAAGTATAGGTCGTGGTCCAAAAAGCCGAAGCCCCTCTCATAACACCAGATCCGAAGCCGATCCTGTATTAGGCTTGGAATCCCCCAGGCAACCTAGAGTGCCCCATCACCACTACCCCTGCTAGTGGCTTGCCTCAGCCTACCTTGTCCTGCTTCATTACCTGGTACCCTAGCACACACTCCCATCTCACCTGCCATGCCTTGATGTTATGAAAAATAGATTTGTTAGACCATCCTTAAATAGCTAGATTGCTAATCTGGTAACCTCTTGCTGCCATAGAGTTCTCTCTCTCACCCTTGCTCAATGGATAATAGCACTTGGTGCTTTTCTGTAGTCTATGTTGAGTAAGCCCATAAATGACCAAATGGCCTGTTTCTGGTTGCAGGTGTCCACTCAGCCTTTGTGCCATATGCTTTGGCTCCCCACTGGGCTTACCCTAAAATATCCACCATTTCAATCACCAAGAATTAATTTAGGGTCTTGCAGCAGCCCTTGCAGAGTTTTTGGTCCTGGCAATGGCCCTTACTGAATCCTGCCCTTGGAGAAACTACAGAGTTACTCTCCTTTTCCCAAGGGGGTTCCAAGCGGTCCCCGCAACATCTGTACAGCTGCCTCATGTGAAGCTTTTTAAGAAGTCAAAAAAATAAGCCTTCTGTAAGAAAATCTGTATCTTCAAAACCCCTCACCATTCTTCCAGGTATCTTCTTCCTGGCCCACAAGCAGCAAAGCTGCTGCAGCACTGCTGGGCTCAGTCCTTCTGGCACTGCTGGGCTGCAGTCCTCTCTGTATCCCCTTTCTGCATTGCAGCTAGCCCCAGACTGCTATCAGCTCCAGGAGTCCGGCTCATATGGTGGCTAGACTCCATCCCTCTCAGCTGCTATGTAAAACAGGGTTGCCATTAAAAGCATCACACCCTATTCTTCTGCCTCCATCCTTAGTGAGAGGGCAGAGGCCCTGTTACAATGTATAAAATGAAAATGTAAATTCTGCCACTAGTGTCATCTGTTCTGTAGGGTTACTGGGGATCTACCAAAGTGGTAAGAAAATATTCTAGCAATAAAAGGAGAGGAAGACATAGACTTCTTTGGTGGTGAAATGATGGTTGTGTAAAGTTGGGGAGATATTCTGAAACACATAATCCTATTTTGTAGTGGGATCCATTAAGTTCAGTCACTGTGTATCAAATCACTAGGACCCCTTGATAGAATACATTGTCATATACAGCTTCAGGCTTTTTGTTCCACATAATATATTCCAGTACTAGCAAAATCTCCAGTAGGCCTCATTATTAAAGAGTTCCTAGCATTTGCAAGCATACATTGGATTTTAACTTTTATCTTACAGGCATGCTTTTAATGCCCATGTTATGACTGCAACTGCAGCTTTGAAAGATTATACTGGCTAGAAATTACTGTAACTTTCTAAGTGCCCACGGGAACAGGAGAGCAGCCATGCCATGTGAGGTCAGTAAGCAGACCTAGATTTTCTGTTCTACTATGTTAATTAGAAAGCAGAATCCTAAGTGCCAATTTTACAAAGAACTCTGTGTCCAATTTCCCTCCAGCCCTGATGGTGAACTGTCTGATCAATATTAAATTTAATTTATAATGATGGCCCCTGTGAAGCTTGCAAATGTTATGTCAACACACCTTAATAGCTTTGGCTTCCTGAGCAGACTTGTTAGCTGCAGCCTCCTCTGCTTCTACAACTTTCTTAACTACTTCCACCTCCAGAGACTCCTCTGCAATGATGGCCACCAGGTTTCCCATCTCTCTTTCACTATTCTACCAGCAGATGCTTCTCCACTGTCAGTTCCTGTTCCATGAGAAATATTTGATGAGTGTGAGGAAGAAAAAGAAAGAAAAGGGAAGAAAACAGTATTCCCCCTCCCCAACTGATGAACCAAAGAAAGAAATAATTGCTACTCACTTTTAATAATGGTACATTTATAGAAATTTCCATAAAGATGATTCAGAAAGGAATGCATGGATTACTTCTCTGTGGGGCATCCAAAATGGTTTGCATTGTTCCATAATGTTATGTTATGTTATTAGAGCTCCATCTAATTTATATTTGCATTTCCCTGTCTCCAGGGCAAATTTTTACAACACACTTGTGAAGTACTAAATGAAGAAGTGCCGTAGTGCTAGAGACCTACATTTTAAAGAATGCTTTTACACCTTCCATTAATTGTAAAAGACTGAACCTGCAGGGTGCTGAATACCTCTTCAGAAGTACAAAGTACCCCTCTCTCCTCACTGGAAATGGAGAGCACTCACTCACAAGATCTGGGCTCTCAGGAGAAGTATTTATTAGATAAGTTGCAGAAAGAAGGTGCACCCTCGATGGAGCCCTTGCTTATATTCCTAGGGATGGAAGACAAGGGTTGCCTTCCCATACATCATGTGGGAGGAAGACGGAACTGGAAAAAACTGAGAAATCATGAGTTAAACTGGTAATAGAATTGTCACGTTACTGAGGTATATGATTACTACTGGATGTGCTACACTACAAGTATAATTTAAATACCCTATTAAATATATTAGTCAAATCAATCACAATTAATTTGCACCCTACTAGCACCTAGAGGCCCAAATACAGAACAGTGCTTCATTGTGCTAGACCACTGGTGCTCAACCTTCTTGCCCCACAAACTGAATGAGAGGTGTGAGGCCTCTCTATTGGCTGGATCAAACTGCAGTGTGACCCTGTGCATGCCAGATCCAACCCTGTGTGCTGAAATAACCCCACATGCACTGAAATGACACCATGCACACTGGATCCATCCATGCAATCCAGCACAATCCACTGCTCAAAGCTGCCACTGCTCCCCTGCCACCAAATTTCTGGAATGGTGGGGAGCTCCATGAGCTGGATGACATGGTCCCATGGGCTGGAGGTTGGGCACCACTGTACTAGACAATGTAAAAACAGAAGGATAGACTCTATTCTACTTTTTAGGTACCTAAGTGGAAATGGGTTCCTTTTTCAGATTCCATACCACTCTGTTTTAGCCCTTGAAAAACTGTTAATACAACAGGTGGGCCCTCCTCCTTCTCCTTGCTCCTTTTCTGTCATTGATGGATTTTTGGGACTTGAACAAGGTGGAAATGCACTTCAGTTTCTTAGTTCACTTAGATGCCCAATAGGTGGAAAAGAATTTGTCCCATAATGAAACAGTGGTCCCTGCCCCAAAGGGACAAAACAGATAAAAGGTAAGAGAAACGAAGTATAATTATAATGAATTATTAAGCAGCAGTAGAATCCCCATTGCACACCTCAAAAAACTGAGGCACGGCAAATTAAATGGCTTGTCCAAGGTCATCTAGGAAATCAGTGGCAGAGTAACCCAGATCTCCTGCTATGTAGTTTGGTGCCTTAACCTCAAGACCATCCTTCCTTTCCAATATAAAGCACATGTTTATATTAAGAAACATTTTTAATTCTGAATGTTAGTGCACTATAGCATATATTTGAAAGATATTTTTCAGACAGCTAGGTTTATATGTTTAAGTGTATGTCTTCATTTCAGTGATTGCAATTGGCAAAGTTGTACTTGAGCTAGCTTTAAAATAGGTGGCAGAATAGCCCTTGCAGCATGCAGCTCTGTCTGGCCAACAGAGCTCCCAGGTATTTACCCAGCTTCCTGGTTAAAACTAACTTAGCTATGTTTGTATAAGATACAGGGACTGCAGTATAAACATACTCTATGGATAGGAACCTTCCTGAATCATGGTTTTGCAGATGTCACAGAAACTGCAAAAAACAGCGTTATCTGTGATGTCTGAAAAATCCAGCATTGGCTATAATTTCCTGCAAAAAACAACCAAAAAGAAAAGCAGTAGTGATGTAGACTGAGTGAAGGTGCCTCCACCAATCAGTGGCAAGGAGTGGGAAAAAAAGTGTAATGATATAGCCTGAATGAAGGTACCTTCCACCAATTACCAGTGAGGGATGGGGCTGCCAGGGTCCCTCTACCAATCAGCAGTGAGGGGTTGGGCCACCATGAAATGATGACCAAATTGGCTTTGGGTGCTGTAAGTAGGCTGTGAAAAACCCTTTGTCTCATTGTGACTTAGGTAGGCCCCTACCTATGTCTACATCCGTTTCAGATTGCTCTAGTGAGTTCTTCTTTGAATCCCTGTATACATTTTTCCATGAGCATTAAGCCCAGAAGTCCTCTCTTTGGACTATAACTTTGTGGTGGTGGACAGACTTGTGTATTCCAATGACCCTCAGAGCTGTGTTATCTGGGCTAGGGACAGAAATTACAAATAAACCAGTTTAAGTGATCAGAAACTGGTTTAAACATGTAACAGAACAGATGTTCAGTACACATAAGCCAGTTTGAAAAAGGCTGAAACCAGTTTGATATAAACCTGGTTGAATGTAGTAGCAGACTTAACTGATTAGGGTCAAACCGGTTTATGCAATATCTGTCCCAGACCCCTTGCTGGTTTAAGTTAAACCAAACTGCCCAGCATCCCGGCATGCTCTTTGGGCTGAGTGGAGCTTT